ACATATGCAATTAATTAATATGAAACGCCTATTGCTTTCTTGATAATTTAGATAAACTAAATAAAATAAACTTTATATTACTCGACCTACAACAATTTATAATATTATATAAGAAATATTACCATTAATAAAGAAAAACATAATAAAAATATGATAAATTGTCACACAAATTCAGTATGAACATTTTTAGTTACCACATTGTATCAAACGAATTGTTTTAAATAATATTACAAAAGAAGTGATGAGAATTATTATCTATGTTGAAAAATTGATTGAGAAATTTTTTACTGTGAATTATGGATTTTTAGAAATTATTAAATAGTCGCCGATAGGTGCGACATCTTAATTCAACAACTCACTGGATCTGCTTAAAAGCATTCCTGGATTCGCCGGCAGTGTAACCGAATTGATAATTGTCCCACGCTTCAATTACAAGGACATAACTTTGCTTAGCCTCCCAATCGATAGAATCTGCTACTGTCAGTGCGCCATATTCAGGATGAATAGCAAAGGTTCCCTATTAAAGAGATCAGTATCGATTACCTTCTTCTCGAAGGAATTTAATCATTTCCGAACTAATTATTCACCTGAGACGACATTCTATCAAGTAGGTAAGTAATCTTCCCATAATCACCGCTGTCAGGGTCGTTAGCTTGGATCACGGCGATCTCGGTACCTATCTTAGCATTCTCCATTACCGTCAAGTTACTAATATCGGTCACGAAGTACGGATTATTATCGTTCTCGTCCAACACCTGAACATAAACTTCCGAGAGGCTCGATCTGTAAATGTTACGAACATTCTATTAATCATATTTTTCGCAAAGGTGTCGAGGGTTTCAAATTTTTGTTTTACATTGTTTTTACAAAAGTGATCACGAAAGACGTTTCCTCAATTTTATTTCAAGGGTAAATTTCACTAAATTTCACATCAAAGGGGATGAAAAGACACATTTTAAATTTTAATTGACAATCATATTCGGAGTATAATTCATTCCCCCCAATTGAATTTGCAACTTTTTTTCATAATCATTATAAAATAAATTTTGTAAAAATACGAACGATCGATAAAATTAGTGTTATATTCTGAAGTTTATTATTACTTCAAATATTTCCATCATTGAAAAGATTAACATAAATTAACGTAGTTAAATAATATTATTTGCATGTATATTTTCTGAAGATTGTAAGTGAACAGCTGTTTTCCAAGTAATCATGTCATTTTCAAATATATAAAATACATATGAACATTTGTATTTAAATATATAAAAATATATAGAGCTATAAAATATGCATGTCACAATTTTTACCTTGGCGGTATTCCCGAATCGGTTGCTCGAACAGTTAGATTGAGCCAGGAATATTGTTCTCTATCGATTTTATTCGCGACGACCATTTCGCCGGTTTCAGAATCAAGATGTACTAAATCCGTCAATTCCTGCGGGCTTTCTAACGTATAAGTTATGCTGCGATTCTTGTCGGCATCGTCGGCCACAATATTAGCAATGTTCACACCATTTTTACTGTTCTCTGTGACCGATCTTCTATAGAACGGTCGGCGGAACCTCGGATTGTTATCGTTTTCGTCCTCGATTATTATATTCAACGTTGCTGAAATTCACATTGGGAAAACAAATTTCAAAAATTATAGAGTTGTCTGTCAAACAAATTTTTACTAAATACAAATTTTTAATATTGCACATCAAAAATAATTCTCACTGCGAATAGATCAGGAAAATTTATTATTACATTTAAATTTCCTGAAATCGCTAAGAAAATTGATAACTATGTGAGTAGACAATAAAAATATACTATACCGAAGGCAGTTTGCACTCCCCTAACAGCAGCCAGATCCTCAACTACAAGACCCAGCCTGATCGTCTCCACTCTTTCTCTATCCAGCAATTTAACAACTCGAAGCAAACCATCGAGAGAATTTAATTCCAACGCGGATAGATAATCGTATTCTTGGATTTTAATTAGCGTCCCCTCTTCGTTCCTCGCTTCGGATGAATTCGGATCGATACGATATCGTAAAATCGGCGCGATATCGGGATCGTTTGCGACAACACGGTGCACGTATGATCCGACCTAATAAACGACACGAATCACTCAACGTCAATTGCTATATTTTATTTGGTGTCTGATGACAGTGATGAAAATTCAATTCCATTTGATTCCATTTATTGTGCAGTGTCTCAAGCTATTTTCTGCGAAATGGTATCATGATTCACGAGCAAAAGGAAATATCAAGCGAGAAACTATCATATTGTTAATTTGTTATTATTTATTATTAATTTCTTATTATTGTTAATTTCTTATTATTATTTCTTAGTATTTCTAAACATATGTTTATATGATAATTTTATATTATTGTTGCAAGTAGAATTTGCTGATACTATTTTGCCAAAACTGTGAGATTGTGCCAATAATTTTAGGATTATTATTATTATTTCATAATTAGCAATTACTAAACTACAGATTTTTATAGAATCTACGAATGAATAAAATACAAGAAAGTCTTGATATTAAGTTTTCACATAGTACAGACT